TACAGAGAACCTTTTGGCTTTTCAAGAGTTCAAAACGAGCAGGAGTCGTAGGGACCCAGTTATCCGATATATGTGCCGGTATCCATATTAAATTACATCGTGACCCTATATTCCGAGAGAGTTTGTAATCTTTTCATGCTGTAGAAAAATCAGGAATTTGGGCCAACTATTTGAGTTGGTAAAAAATTCAATTACTGCTGCCAGGTTTTCATAAAGTGGCGTGTTTTGCTTTTTTATTGCAGCCAAAAACCGTTTGCAAAATACGTCCTCGACTGATCCAAACAACAGCTGGAAGTTTACTGTTTGGTCATCCGAAGTGATATATTTCAGCGATTCGCGGCGGTCAAGCCAATGCTCGAGGCCTCTTCTATCTGATCGCCGATTATACTTTCGAGAGCACATACAACAATGGCATATATTGTTTGCGCTTTAATAGTAATTATCTCGTTTATCTTTTATACAAGCACCTGAAAGATCAGACTTTTTCCGCCGAAGCCAGTCGGTAAAACGACCAACAAATCACCTCCCAAAAGCAATTGCCGTAAAGCGTCTCCTTTGGCAGTCTTTGCTGAGGCCTTAAGTCTTTCAATGTGGACATATTGTGATTTTGGCCCGCATCAACAAAACCGTTACCGGAAGTAAAGAGGTAGTGCTAAGCTTCGTGGGCCAATCAGAATATTGCGTTCGCTGGCGAACGCATTATTTTTTTCTGCTGAACGCCCAGAGGCTAGGATGTGTCTTCTTTAACTTGGACTCATTTACACTGCCTAACGGAACAGACCTGAGATGTGTCTTCTTTACGCAGATTGATCTAATCATACTATCTAAATCACAATTCTGCCTCCAGATGGATAATCTTCATAGCTGGAGTAAGAAGTGGCTAATGGAGGTAAACCTAAAAATTATGATTTTTGAAAAAAGGAAAACAAAAAAAAGCGAAACCAATTTTCACACTAGGAAATGAAAAGATACCCGTTGTACAGGAATCTTACTGTTGTTACCTAGACATAAAGCATAATCAAAATGGTAACTCTGCCTTGGCTATCGAGCAGCTGAGTTAAAAAGCCCTGCATGCGCTCTACAGCATTATAGAAGACGCCTCAATTACCTACACCAACTTGCCCCAAATCTGCAATTAAAATTTTCGACAGCATGATAAGCCACATGCATCCTTTTGCACAATGCGTATATATGTGGGGTGTATAACATCAAAAACGATTTTAACAATTTGGACAAATTTCCGGTTGAAAAAGTACACCTAAAATTCTGTAAGCTGTACTTAGGCGTTGGCAAAAAGACGAGTAATATCGCGTCAAGAAGCGAACTTGGAAAATATCCATTATCAATGCATCCAAAGGAATCTTCAAGTACTTCACTCAGCTAATCTCGCTTCCTGAAACAACTATTTCCGAACAAGCTTTCCTCATATCAAAAGATTTATTCATTAAAAAGAGCAATTTTTTCTATGGAAGGGAAAAGCAATGGATATAATGAAAACCCCAAACTGTAATAGAGCAATCCCAGACCTAAACTCACTCACTCACAACCAATCTTGTTGAATCATGAGTTAAAGATACTAAAGAAAGCTAGATACAAAAATATTTCGCAGGAAGACCGAATATGCAAGGTCTGACAATCAAGAGAAGTTGAAACGGAACATCACTAGCTAATTCCCAACTTCCTGTGAATCCTATAGTAGTCTTTTTAAATTACTTGGAAAGTGATCCCACCAAGGAAACATAGGTATTTAAACGAACATAGTTTACCAGTTGAGGTAATGAAATTAACTGATAAAGAAACCGTGAAAAAATTATCGAAATTTATCTCTTTATATTTTGAGAAGAGATCTAAATGCCTTGAAGCTCGAAATGCTGACAGTCAATAGGCTGGTTGTGATGTTGCTCTGAGTGTATATCCACACCAGACAAATGCCCCAGGCGTGGGGGTCCCACGCTTCTGGGGACCCAAACACCCTCCAGTTACGCCACTGATTCTGAGACCTCCAGAGCCCCGGAAATGCAATCAAATTTATTAGTTGCTGTTAAAAAGTTTATTAATTACCCATCATTTGTTTAGTCTAACCAGAAATAGATTGATTACTTGGCTATATAAGTTATAAATATATTGTTAACTGATTTGAAAAATTTCAGTATTCTTAGTTTATAAAAATCATATATTTTTACGGAAAATTATTGGGAGGTGGGTTAAAGCCCCCCTGTTTCGCGGTCCCTGAATTAAAGCTCTCCATGGTCTTTAGGGCCATATTTATACGAGAGAAAATAATTAGCGAAAAATCTTGTATATATTGTCAATTTCTGTTAAGCCGCGACTTATTTTGGACTTAATTGACCAGTTATATATACGAGTGTCCATTAACTCATATTCGATTTCTCTCACTCGATGTACAACTTATCAACAGGCTCTGACGGGTGATCGATCGGGAGCGTTTGAACGATTAAATTAAAAATTATTTGTTAATACCACGCAAATATTGATGTTGCGTAACTAATTCAGCATGGACACTGAGCTCGAGTCAGACCCTATTGCAAATAATTTACAGTAAATCATTTCTAGCTGTTCATAATGAATAAACTTAGAATGCTTAGAATAACTCGTGGCTGAGTTATTCTAAGCATTAAAATTCTGTAAGGAGCTCTTTGGCACTTAGCATAGGGGTTTCAAATTTTTAAAAACCTTATATATTCTTGCATTTTCGACCACTATCTTCAAACTTTTTGCATTTTCGACTATTATCTTATATATTTCTTGTTTTCAAGTTTGTTTCCCCCATCTTTTTGCCAAACTTACGTTTATAATTTGCCCATGCAACTTCATTTTTACTATAGGAAGTGGGGCAGCTGCCCCCCTCCTCCTCCTTCTGGCTATTTAATTTGGCAATACTTTTACGATAGTCTGCGTAATGCTAAAAGCCATTCAACCTTCCGTTCGGAAATTCGCAGCGAGGAATCTGGATTCTTCATTTGCTACTGGGTATGAAATATGTTTTAAATTATTTTCACTAATATATTGTTCAAACATCGACACATTCAAATCATAAAATGCATCAATGAAACCTGCTTCTGGGTTGCAAATTCGTAACATTTCTTCACTAGTACTTTGGTTGTAGTATATCAGTTTATCTTGATCTTCAATTATATTATGGAATCGTAGACTATTTTAAAATTTCCCTAATCTCCCCCATTCCTTCTATACTATGTTGGTTTGTGCACAAAAGGTTGTCATCCTTCATTCAGTATTTTGACCAACACTGTGCTTATTGGCGGACACTAACCTTGATTCCAGAGCCTTCGACAGTAAATAATAAATTGAAATGTCGCGAATTCGAAGGCTCTGGTTCAACGGGGAGATTCTTTGATTAAACCGCGCCAATCACAAAATAGAATTAGTGGTAGTTTAGCACAGAATCTGTACTAAAACCACTAATTCTGTTTTGTGATTGGCGCCATTTAATCAAAGAATCTCCCCATTGAACCAGAGCCTTCGCGACGTTTCAATTTATTACTAGATTTACTGTCGATGGCTCTGGAATCCAGGGTAGGCGGACACTGGAACTGCAGGAAATTTAAGGCAAAAGAACAAAGGTCTCCAGCTTGCAAAAGGTGGTCATATAGGTTCGCAACCTGATTCGCCCCCCTGATAGCGAAATGTTCGCCACTGAGTGTGCTATAGGTCCAGGAGGAGGGGGACACTATTTCAAGCCTATCGATGTCATTTCTCGGCAAAATGCAAATTTGTGCATGCGCAGTAAAGATAAATTAGGCTTCGCAAGAAAAATTTCGCTTCACAAGTGAGTAGTTCTGCTCATGGAGAAAGCGAAAGTGGGAAAATTTAACAGAATCACTCATTTGCTATAATCCGTATTTTGCAGACGCAATTTCTCGCAAAGTATTTCGTCCTCGTGGAATCAAGCCTTTAAAAGGCTTTCGGGAATTATTGGAGAAGGGACAATGGACCATTTGCATTATAGACTAAATTTTGATCACTGATCATCACTCTAGACAAAAAATTTATCACGCCTTGAAAGAGCATCACAAAATTAGTAATATTCCAAAGTTTCGTTGCGAAATGTTGTAAAATGCGGATAATATAGCCTTGCGAAATTTGCAATTTTCAGTTAATTTAGATTACAAACGGGAATTTGATGCCCCAACACCCGATTGGGCTGTCAATTTGCCGTGCGTAATACAAAATGACTGAAAAACGGCAAACTTCGCATGGCTATATTATCCGCATTCAGTTACAACATTTCGCAAGGAAACTTTGGAATACTGCTAATTTTGTGATGCTCTTTCAAGTGGTAATGAAATTTTTGTTTGGATCAAAATTTACACTAATGCAAATGGTCGATTGCGTTCTTATCCGCCCAGTGCCCGCCCCTGTTTATAAAGGCATAGGCTATAAAATAATATTAAACAATTTAAAGATTTTTACTTTTAGGTTACATATGCTTATGGTAATCGGGCAAAAGACCAGTGGTGGAAATCTCGGTGGGGCGGGGCGAATTTTCGGAAATTTTGACCTATAAGAGGGCTAAAAACAGCCTTTTCGAGTGGAAATAAGAGGGGGGGGGGTTGTCGGACATTTGAAAGTTTTGTCGAAAATTTAAAAGGCTTCGCCCCCCCCCCCCCTTGCCACTGCAAAAGACACGTGTACATGTCTATTCTAATCAGCCAAAGGGCATACATTTAGAATGTCAGCATGCGAATAAAGGATTTAAAACTGCTAGCTATAGCACTGTATACAATTCTCATTTATTATTGCCAAACTGTGTGCTTGTGGGAAGAAACACGTTGTAGGAGTCCACACTTTCACAAAGTCACAAATTTGTAAGTTTTTAGGATAGTTTTTACACCCAACACCAACAAATACAAAGTTATTAATAATGCCAAGTCATATCACTAAGATATTGCACCTACAAAATTTACGTGATATGTCACCTTACGTACCCCTGCGTCATCACCCACAATTTTAAATATTTCTTAATTATTATTTATCTTTTCCTTTTTGAATGCACTTCTTAACTCATTATAATCTTGAAACCCAGTTTGTTTGGCAACAACTTCCAGCCACTTTCCCTGAATTATTTCTTTAGTTTTATCATCCATCAACTCTCGTCCTTTTGATGCAGATCCCGTGACAACCTTACTGGGCACAACATCATGGGCTACCCCGCAAGCTACATTCCGATAACGTGCGATGCGTGTGTCTGAAAACTTCTTCTGGTTTTCCTTCATAAATTCAAACGAGCTCATTTCCACAGCCTTCTCAATCTTTTCTTCATCCTGAATTCCTATGAATGCTGCAGTCTTCCTAACTACACTTTCCAAATCATCTTTCATATCCTCAAAGAACACAAACAAAACATTCGAATCATTCCTGTGTTCCCACCAGCTAACCAAGTGGACGAAATAGGATGCATTTTCCATCTTGTTTTGTGGTACTCCACGAGCGAGCAAAAAGTCTTTTACAAATTCATGAAGTGAAACTTCTCCGGGTTGGAACCACCAACCCTCAAAGAAGTTAAAGAAGCTGTTGAAAGCAGCACGTGGTTCACGGTAAATAACAATGTATTTAGCACCCTTCGGACAATCGGGATACCATGCGTGGGTCTTGTAACATCTAACAATAAGAAGAAAAAAACATATCTTAAATTAATATCATACAACAAATTCAGAATAGGCTATATAAAAATTATAATGTCATTCAGTTAATTCTATTACAAACAAATGTTAAGCTGTGTAAAGCACACAGCGACTACAGCTATATAAGCATGAGATATATAGGTACAAGCTAGCTTGCAGGGTTAATAACGTAGTCAATCTTGGGTACTAAAAACAATGGGAAGAAATAAATATGCAGAGGTGCTGCAGATGTTTATACTAAGTTTCATGATCAACCCAATTACAAGATAAATTTCAGAGAGGCCGAATTTCAGTGAAATCGTGAGATATATAAAGATTTAAAATTGTATGCACACGATGAAACTGTGTGAAATGAAACGTCTGTAACAAAATTGTTGTAAGACACAGGCATGATAAAGAACTTATACTATATTGATTAGCAAGTCGAGTTGACATCCTTTAAAACTATCAATTATTAATGATAATAATTCATAAACCTTGTGGCAAATCATGTCAGCCATAATATGCCACGTGGAGTGACTTTATATCTGATAAAGCATGTGGCATTATATAATTGTTCATCCTAATTAGTATGATTATATAATGGTTCATCCTAATTAGCATTCTCTTGTAGTCTCATTGTATGTTATTGAAAACACTAGTTGTCTTGTTTTATCAGACATCAAACGCTAGGCTGCGCCTCGTGTTTTATATCTGATAAAACACTCCTACTCGTGTTTTAAATAGTACATAACCCTAGTTCTAGGTTGCGGAAGAGAGTGTTATTTGTTGATCGGCCAACAAGTTTTTTTAGTTGAAAAATTTAAAACAAGGCTCTGTCACACCTGTGTTTCATGTTAAATGAGAAAAGCAAACTTGTAATACACAACATTTTTAAATGTTGAATTAGCTTGAAGAATGTTACAGACTGCATTCATGCAAAGCAGGCAACACAACATTTTTATTACGCCCCTAAAAATTTTTTAGAATTATCTACATTTGTTTGGGTTGTTTTTGGAGATGTTAGGGGCCTTCTAGAAACCTAATACTATAGTAATAGGCTTTTTAATTAAGACCCCTATAACTTACATAGTTATTTCATTCTTATATTTAGTCAGTTCGAATTATTATATTGAACACAGATAAAGTATATAACAAATATAAAATTAAACATTATCATTCTTGTTTTTGATTCCTTCGATAAAACTGTCGACCACCAACCAACACGAACCTCGAGTCGGCCATCTTTGTTTTGACAAGGCCCCAAGGCGCGAAGCAGCGAAATTTAGCGGGACAAAAAACGATATCCAGGACAAAAAAAACCGATATTATACATAGAATTTAATTATACATTACCAATGCCAAATACTAATGCTATGAAAAAATCATTGGCCTACAGAGATGCGGAGACTTGGAACGCTCTCCCAATTGACCTGAAGTCGCTAGGAAGTGTAGTAACTTTTAAGAGTGGGGTAAAACAATGTAGATTGATATAATGTTAAGTTAGAAAATTCTTTTATATTTACAGTAGTTAGGTCACGGCCGATTTGAAGATCACTTTTTTCCGGTTGTTTTTGTAAATAATAAATTTTAATATACTGTGAAATAGTACCGGGTTTAAATGAAGTTGAAGTTGAATCCGGGGCAAAATTCGGGACAATATCCCGCTGCTTCCTACCTGCATGATAAAGGTACAAGTATGTGACAAGTATATTTACAATAAAGAAGTTGATAATATATATTTTAACTCTTATAATTATATACTTCAATTATTGAATATAGAATAATTTCTTATTTTTATTTCAAAAATACTATAGGAGAAAATAGACTATTTGTATTTAGATTTTATTTTATTCCAAACATCAACTCCTTTCTTAGAAAGAGTATGCATTACAAAATGTGTCCTTTTATATAAGTCTTGTGAAGCTTAGTTGAATTTTTTGTGCCATGGTCATGAATTTATTATTGGGTATGAAATAATTTACGAGCGTTAATCTGGTAAATTCTTCAAATTATAATATCGAAACATAAATAAACTCGTTAGGTATTAATCAAATTAAATGCTATTGATATCTAATTAATGCAAACATGCAGCGTGGTCATTTCGAGGATTTTCATGTTGTTTGAAGCGCTCTAAGTTATGTAATTAATATTTTCAAAGATGAAACTGTGAAAGCAGTGACAGAAGAACAAAAGAAAGCAATCTTTTCTGTTTTGTCGGGCCGAGGTACATTTGTTTGCCTTCAAACTACGGTAAGTCTTTGAATTATTAAGATGCTCCAACAAAAACCGGTTTGATATCACGTGGTGAAAATCACTCGTTGTCATGGCAATCTTGCACATGCGCGACAGAAAACGTATTGGATCTAGGCAGAGGTCTCTTTTCCTTCGACTCCCAGCACAAATAGGGACTTTTACCAGGCTGCCAGCAGGGAAGGAGCGATCATGGTAGACATCAAATCCATTGGATATCGATTTTCCATTGGATATCAATTGCGGTTTACTGAAAAATCATGTCGTAACGTTTTTGTCCGATAAACAAAATTTTACAAAACATATAAACTGTTCTATTATCTTACCGCTAGAGGGTTTCATCTTCATTTAAAGTCATCGTGTTGTTTTATCGACAAAGTCATTAGCCAATGAGATTGCTTATCGCAGGTGGGTATCAAATCTAGCAGGTGAGTACAAATCATTTCGGCAGGCTGTCGACCAATCAAAACGGTTTTTGAAGCTCATTTATGGGACAAACGATGTTACCAGTAGTATCGTTAAGTGTTTCTAATAATAATATCGCCAAATCTAAACGGCCAATACACGAACTTATTGTTGCTGCTTACTAAATAGTGAGAAGGTCAACCAAGCAACAATTTTTTGCGCTTAATATAATAAATTAATAATGCATAGCATTAAGAGCGCTTTTCGATTGACTTTTTCCATCCGCAGATTTTAGATTCTTGCTTTATTATCGCTGACAACGTTTACATCGAAGTGCATGGTATAGTGTCAATTCAGTTGATCAATTGTAGAATTTGAAAAGTCGCGACCAGTATAGTCAAAGACAAAGTAATTTAAGGAATGAAAAAGGACAAACAATTGGAACTACAAATGCAAAATATCATCTAAATATACCAACCATACACAACCACGACCAGCTTTTTGGAACTAAACGTAAACAGCGAAGCAGAAAAAGTAATTATTCATGAGATTCCTTTGTCTGAACTTGCAAAATCTCTCGAATACAGCAACAGTCAAATGATCCAGATTGTGGTGTATTTGCAATCGCGTTTGCGACAAAAATATCCCACAATTTTATAATGTACATGTATTTATATAAATACAGATGCGAACTTACTTGTATGCTTGCCTGAAAGCTGGTCTCATTACTCTATTTCCGACGGCTGAGAGCACAAAATAAAAAAGCTTACACCAATATTCAGTTTGCAATTTTATTGAACTAACTGTTAAAATTATCATACATAAAACTCTATCAAAGATACAAACTTCTTGCATTTGAAAATTATTACAGACTTATAAGACTTTGATAAACATTAAACATTTTTGGTGGTCACTAGACTGAGAACCTGCACATGGTGACCACTGGGCAACAGCATGTTGTGTAAACAAAGGGCAGATTAACACACGAGGACCCCTATATTGTTTAACTGGACAACATTTTATTTTGCATATTATTTGTACAATGTCATATGTTGGTCTGTTAAAGTGTTTTAAAATCTACCCCTGTGCGATCGCAAACTTTTGCACAACCTTTTGGCTAATCTCAGCACTTTACACAAAATATGGCTTAATGGGGTGTGTGGGGGGAGGGGGATAGGCAAATGTCCATACTTTGATTTGCCACCATCTAAAGGCCTGGGTCAAATTTGAGTAAAGATTTTGTCAAATCATATCTATGGGACCGTAAAGTAGTTTATTGCCCTGGCCTACCCAAAGTCTTTGGGTGGCCTAATCAATTACTTAACCCCAACCGATAATACAGTCGCAACAGACATGGTTTTTACATCGTTTCAATGCTGATGGTATTCAAACAGGTCTATGTATTTATTCCCCATATCACAAGGCCCCATGAGAATTGCATGAATTATTATTGCTGAGATTAGCCAGCATGTAGTGAAACAAACAGGGGTAGATTTTTTACTTTGCAGCTGCAAAGGAGTCTTTTTTTGGGCAAAGTACAATTAAAGTAGCTTACTAATCCAACCCTGATACTGTTGCCCAGTGGTCACCAATGGGAGGTTCTTAGACTTGACCACCAATTTTTCAAATGTTGAAAGAATGTGCTTCTGTTTCTTGGTGAAAACATAATGTTGTAAAATACTTTACTTCAATCAAAAGGTATAGTATAAGGGCAAAGGTTTACTAGTGCAGAGCAAACTCGACTCATTTTGTCATTGAGAGGAAGAGATTCTCCTTTCCTGCAAATAAGGTAATCATTGGCAAAGTTTGGTGAAGAATGGTATATTTCTATCTCAGTAAACCAATAATTCTTTCAACATGTATCCAGACCGTAGCAATATTTCTTATCTGTTCCACATCAGCAGAATCAAGTTGGTCTTTTCCTTTTGTGAATGCCGGAATGTTCAATTTGGCTTGGCGAAACTGAGCACTTTCATGGACAGTAAAATCCTTATCCACCAGAACCAAATCACCTGGTATAGGGTTGTCCAGAAAGCCACAGTTCTCGGTCAGAAACTTATCTGAAGTCCTCCCTCCCTAATTAGTTTCACTGACAAAGCAAATTGTACCTTGTGGTGTAATTCCAATTATCACTTTAATAGTGTTATAATGCTTGTAACTTGAAAACGTCTGTGCCCTTGGAAGGAGATTAGTTTGTCTATCAATAAAAGTCAGCAGAACATGGTTTACCCAGAAGTTAAAACTCGGATTGAAGCATAGAATTATATGACAGTAATGACACAGGCTTGTCTGAATGCCAACTGTTGTGGTTGAAACGTCTGTTTGTGTTTATATGACCGT